CTTGAATTTTTTTCAAATGTTTTAACAATTCCCATCAAACTGCACAATTCATGGAATGAAAGATTTACTTTTACCTGCAAAGTCTAAGATAATAATGGTAAATGCATTATACTTACAGGAAATCATTCAGTTTTGGACTTTCGGCCAGCGCCCGCTCAGCATCGTTTAATTTTGCAACAAGCTCTTCAACAGGCATCTATAAAAAGCAATCAAAAATGATAGATTCGCATTCACCAGCTCATTGGTATTACATTAATTAATTAAAATGAATTCAAACAAATTCGAGTGTTTAAATTACAAACTCTAAGGTTTAATCTTACGAATGACATTTTATGACTTTGAGAGATAACAGCGGCTTTCCTAGTTTCTTCTTTCTGTAAAATTTCCTTTTAATCCCTCCAGTCTGGGGACCAAAAAACAATGAATAAATTCAACCGTGAGAACGGAGATTTCCAGACTACCGTATTCATAAATTGAGGGGCAATCTACAGTTCGCGAGTAGGGTTATCCAAAAACTGGGCACATGGGAACTACCGTACACTTTTATCACTTTTTCGCTGTTCAAAAATACAGCGACTGATAACAAAAGTGAAGGCTGAACTGCAAAACTCATTGTAGTCACTTTTCCATCCATTGAACATCTACAGTTGGGCGACAGCTCCCAATATCCAGAAGACAGCTGTGTTTACGAGTATATTGTTAATGATAAAGAAGCAACCTCCAAAACTCGTAGCACAGTAAATATTTCCGCTTTGTTTTTCCAGCTTTAGAAATTTTTGTTAAAATCGAAACCTTCATATTTCACTGCGGTTTCATTTTCTTCGTTTCTGCCCGCCCTGTTACATTTTCATTAATATCAGCGCGTTTTTTGCAGAATATTTTTCTAACGGCTAAGCTTCCCACAATAATGCGATACCTTGCTAGAGGTATTAGCTTTAGCGTTTTAGCTTGCTAGAGGTATTAGCGTGATCCAGGGTTCCCTCTCAAGATTATTACCACGCGCATAAAACGATAGGCCAACTGAATGGGATTGGCAGACATTAAAGAGCGATTTAGCGATGAATTACTTCAAGCTTCTCATTCCGTTGCACTGCTTCCAGAGCAGCTTTTAGATCCAGCACAACCTTTCCCGATAACTGCTCAATCTCGTCGTGCAAGGCCGTGATCCTCTTGTCTTTATCTTTTTCATTATTTTCCAGGTCTGCAATCCTGTAAATGACATGCGAATGATTATGTGAGACAAGCATATTTGTAAAAAAGTAGGTAAGATCATTGCACGAGAAAGCTCAAACAATATTTCCGAATTGTCTCTGAAGTTAATCGACTCGTAATGTAAATTTCGGCTGAACAGATCAAACTTCCTAATACTTATCCAGAAAGAATGCAGTACCTGCTGTTGGCATCCAGAAGCCATTGGCTGTGTTCGTTCAAGCTCTGTTCCGCATCATTTTTACTTTTCGTGATATTTTCGATGCATTTATCTTTTTCACTGATTTCATTCCGAAGGCTTTCAATAGTCGCATCCAGAGCACTATAATCAAAGTGTCAAATTCAGGGAGCAGTTTTTCTCAGGTGTAAAATTAAGTTTTTATAAAACTGTAAAGCCAATGAATGCTCCATGGCAAAATATGCACACAGCGTATTTTTGCAAAATCATGTAGAAATAGTTAAATATGAGAAACTAACTCGATATCTTCTTGCTTCGGACTTTTTTCAAATTCAGCGAGCTTAGCATTCATCTCCTCCAATGCCCTCTACAATGTAATTATAAAGCAGTGTTCCTCAGAGGCAAAATTATGAATATTCCGCTTGTAGGCTGTTCATTCAAATACTCCGGTACTAGCAGTGACAAAATTGTTGAGTGTGGTTAGAAAAACCTTAGATTTACAGTTTCAGTTCTGAAAGGAAGCCTAGGCAAATTGATCAAACCACGTTCAATTTTATTTCTTAAGCAGTCCCTGGAGCAGGGCCTCATTAATAGGCTTTTTTATCAGCAGAAGAACCAATGCTTAAGATAAATGCATTGTTTTAATCGAGAACGTACGGGGACAAAACATCCACTGATGCCAGCACACCATCCAATTCAAAAGGTTCAAACCTGGCACATAAGTTTTTCTTCGTCAGCGACCTGTGTGATCCGACTAATTTCCTCACGCAGCTCCTTAATCTCTCTCTCCTTCTCCTCCAAAGCATTTTGTAACCCATCAGCTCTATAAAATCGCTTCATGAATAAAACAGCGTGCAATATTCCGAAGCATTTTAATGGCGTGCTTTTTCTGAATTCTCATGGTAAGGGGGCAACACTCGACAGAAATCCTTGAAATCGACTTCTGATTTTGTAGCTGTTAAAGGCCCAGACAAGCTGCAAAATTCAAATTATATTTTGAATCTTTCTGTAATCACTA